CACGGACGGAGCGGCGGACCCGGAGAAAACAGCAACGACCGAGGAATTCGAGAACAGACCCAGAGAAACACCAAATACAGCAGCGTCCGGGGTCCACGAGCTGAGACGGAGAGGTGCCAGCCCCGGCAGCCCCGGGAGAGTACGCGGAGAGAAGCCGGCTGGACCGGCCCCGAGAGTGGAAGTGACCGGTCCCGCAGAGCGGAGGCGGAGTGGCCCTGAAGAGCGGAGGTGGACCAGCCCCGAAGAGCGGAAGTGAGCGGCCCTGAGACCGGAAGCGGAGCGGCGCTGGAACTGACGTGGTAAGGAGCAGACTGCGGCAGCCCCAGGGGCGGACACGAAGGGACGCCAGCGGCGGACGCTGAGCGGCCCTGGGGGTGGACGCGAGGGGACGCTGGGGGCAAGCGCAGGGTGGCCCCGGAAGCGGAAGCAGGGAGGCACCAGAACTGATGCAGAGGGGCGCTGGAACTGACGCGGAAAGGCGCTGCATACAGCGGCGGCAGAAACAAACGCGGGGAATCATCAGATACAGCAGCACCTAGCCGAATCAAGAACGATCGGACAGTGGGCCTCCGACAGGTCGTTCCGAGGACCTGAACCGAGATAGAGCGTCGCTCTCCGCAAGGGCTGCTGGCAAGAGCTGCACCTGGTGCCTTAATCATGGAGCATCAGCAACATATCAAAGTAAGGGGGTATTTTTTGTGCCTTAATCAAGGAGCACAGGCCGGTGGGAGTATTTTTTGTGCCTTAATCAGGGAGCACAGGACGTCGGGAGTATTTTTTGTGCCTTAGTCAAGGATCACAGGCCAGTGGGAGTATTTTTTGTGCCTTAATCAGGGAGCACAGGCCGGTGGGAGTATTTTTTGTGCCTTAATCAGGGAGCACAGGCCGCCGGGAGTATTTTTGTGCCTTAATCAGGGAGCACAGGCCGCCGGGAGTATTTTTTGTGCCTTAGTCAAGGATCACAGGCCGGTGGGAGTATTTTTGTGCCTTAATCAGGGAGCACAGGCCGCCGGGAGTATTTTTGTGCCTTAATCAGGGAGCACAGGCCGCCGGGAGTATTTTTGTGCCTTAATCAGGGAGCACAGACCGCCGGGAGTATTTTTGTGCCTTAATCAGGGAGCACAGGCTGGCGGGAGTATTTTTTGTGCCTTAATCAGGGATCACAGGCCGGCGGGAGCACAGGCCGGCGGGAGTATTTTTGTGCCTTAGTCAAGGAGCAAAGGGCCAACGGTGCCTTAATCAGGGGTGGGTCGGCAGTAATGGTACTGTGCCTTATCCAGGGAGCACAGGACCGGAGGTGCCTTAATCAAGAAGCACCAGGTTGACGAGATGGAATAGGAGGTAGCCCTGGATTTATTACAACTCTTTTTAGAAAAGCGGGGAGTGGATTGTATAAAATCACTCGTGGGTTTAGTAGCATTAGGACGGGTCAAAGGATGTTTTCAAGATCCTAATTCTCTTTTTGATGTCGAGGAGTGGAGACGATTAGGTGATATTTTATGGGATATGGTAATTGACGAGGATAAAGCTGCAAGGAAAATGATGAAACCGTGGTGGGACGTGGTGAATACTATTAAGCGGTATCAGCTTGAAAAGAACCTTGCAGCTGTGGCAACTACAAAGTTGGGGAGGGAAAGTTCCACTGTTACCCCAGGTAGTGAGGCATCCGGATCTATGCTTTTTGACAGTGATCGTATTCCTGTCCCATCAACAGGAGTGCTGGTTTCAGTTAACATAAGTAGGGGAAGTCCGGAGGCCAGCCCCCCCCAGTGTCCCTTACTGCCATGCTTCCCCCACCCCTCCTACCTCGGAGGCGGAGGGAGAGAGGGACGATGGCCCCTCGCTAATATTTAGCCAACAGGAGTGGTGCGAAGTAGGTGATTTATTGTGGGACGAGACTATCACTGGAGGCAATAAAGGCAGTGAAGCACGACAGCAAGGGCTGGTCTGGCGAACGAGCGTAAAAGCCCTGAGGGAGATGCAAGCAGAACAGAAAGTAGCTGCTGCTGCCATGGCGGCTGTCGGCGCTGTACCATCCCCGCCGGTCCCTGCCGAAACCAACCGTCCGTCATGATTAGCCACCTTCTTCGGGGTTAATCAGCAGCTCCGCTCTATTAAGGGCATGTCACCAAGTGTTCCTGTTTGCTCCACCGCGCAAGAAGCGGCAGAGAAATCAGGCGGCGCGGGGGCACCGGGTGGAGCGGCGTGCCACCATAAACTCTGCCCCCCCCCCCACCGTTCGGATGGTTCCGCCCCTGACAGCGCGTCAGCGTCTGAGTCGGAGAGAAAAACGGCGGCTGTGTCCGAATTAAAGCACCAGGGTCACACATCGGTGATGGACAGTGACAGAGTCCGAGAGCTTGACAGAAAATTACAGAAGTTGAGCTACAGAGCAGAACTCTGCATTTACAATGACAAGAAGAGGAAGCGCTGCCGGCAGCCCCCCCACACCCACTCCCGTCACCCTCACCAGAACCAGCTCCGCTTTTAGCTCAGCCCCGATGGAGTGGGGGGATTCGGGGTGCCTTGTTACAAGGGGACTGGCATGCTGCTGGGGCGTTGGCCTGCCCGGTAGTGACAACAAATGGGGGACACCTGGGAACTCAAGATCACAAGATTCTCCTCGGGGGGTCTGGAGACTCCTTACGAACTTTACAACTCTGAACTGTCATTTGGGTGTTTCAACATCAACACTGGTATCAAAAACTTGTTCATGTAGTATCAGGTTCATTGTATGTTGTGGGTTCATTGCAATGTTTAGAACATAGCATGGAGAAACCTGTATTACATTCTGTATTGCATACTCTGTTGTTACAATTGCTGACACTTTTAAAACTGTAAGGATGGTTTTCTTGCTACATAAGACTGCATAAGACTGGAACATGGACTGACAGAATGGTTACAAAACTTGGGAATTTGGAAAATGGACTGACAGAATGGTTATAATTCTACAAAACTTGGAAATTACTGGGTGGCTGAAAGCTTTGTTGATGTATGGACTGGTAATGCTGATTGTCATTATGCTTGTCATGATGGTATTGGGGTCTGTGTGGAAATGCTTTATGAATGCTATGATTCAAATGTTAAAAGGAGTCTGGATTGTCCAAAAAAGAATAAGGGGGAAAAAAAGGTAGGAATTTTTTTTTTGGGGGGGGATCAGGGTCATGCACTGATCCTACAGGGTTTGGACAATCCAGGCTGGGTCTCTGAGCAGAAAACTGTCATGTGGTAATCCTGCCCTTGGGGTCACCTGGAAGGGCAAGAATGAGGAAGTCAGGCTAGTGCTTCCTCCCTGTTTGAATGCCTGGATACACTAACCACAAAGTAGATTTAGTTTGTTCACGCGTGCTAACGATGCAGACCTATCACAGCACTCCCGGCTGCGTGATAAGTGCCTTTAGCCAATAGATTGTAAGCCTGCATGTTTAAGTTGTGCCTTGTCATGTATTAAGAAAATCTTTGAACGAACGTTAGGGCAGGCTCTGCTCATACAAAAAGAAAAAGGGGGAATTGTTGGAGAATGGCTCAGAGACAAGGGTCCTGAGCCCACCGAGCAATTGTATGATCAGAGCCTGCTCTAGCTGCTGATGCTGGGCCTCACTAGGCTTTGCCTGCAGCTGCTCGCAGCTGCTGATACAGGAGGAATGTCACGGACGCTTCAGCCCTGTGTACCGTGGTGTGTCGAAAACAGGTTAAGGAGAATTAGGAATAGTGGTCTGAGAAACCCAGTGTTATGGTAACGGTGGTCTGAGAAACATTGTGTTACGGTACTGTCGTGTATCGAAAACAAGTCAAGAGGAATTAGAAATAGTAGCATGAGAAACTTAGTGTTATGAGAAGCTTGTGCTGTAAGCTAACTGCAAGTAGGTGGACCGTGCGAATACGACCTTTAGAGCTTAAGCCAATCAGCTAGTGACTAGTAGGCATAATAATTATCATTGTCTGTATAAATATATGTACCCTGGACCAATAAGACACGCGTTGATTGATGCTCTATCTTCCACATTGAACCCTTCTCAGCGTGTCGTTCGTCCGCAGCTCCACACTCATTCTCTTCTGCAGTGTGCTGAATCCACCCCATTGACTTCATTTTTCGTGTTCACAGAGGCAGGTGACAGCTGCTCAGCCTTGAGTGAGACCAGCAGCTAATTTAGCGAGGTCTTGCATTCAGCATTTTCAACATGATGTGAGTGCATTTCCCAAAGGGAGTTCTGTCTTTCCCCACCCTTGTTCAGCACGGGATAGAGGTGCTATGTAACGCACGTGACTGCTGCTCCTGAGAGCACCTTGGCTGGATTTGCTTGAATTGCGTATTATGTCACTGCAGCCTTAAAACCAGGGTTAGCAAGAATGTCCCAATCCCCAGCCACAAGCTTTACAGAAATACTGATAACTGATAGAAATGAACAACATCTGGGCAGCAAGTCAGGTCTTTTAAATCCTCACTTTCTCACTTTCTTTGTTGTTTTATTTTGGTTTTTTCTTTTAATCAGTTTAAGACTTGAATTACATCCAAGCCAGTTTCTCATCTGCTGTGTCATTCTTGTGTTCTGCTATATAACAGAAGGGATAGGAAATGAATTAAATATACTCTTAAAGACAAACTCAGGGAACTCAACTTGTTTAGCCTGGTCCTTTTTGCACAGCAGAACCAAGGCCTGCTTTGGAGCATCCACATGGACACCTGCGCCAGTGGAAGCCGTGGGGGGCTGCTCCTCTTGAAGGAGGGGCAGGAGGACCCCTGGTAGCACCTGCCTGAGCTGTACGGCTGTTGAAGCAGGGACTCCTTTCTCCTCTGGAGTTTAGTGCAAAGGGGCTTGTGGGTGCAGCATGTGTATGATTTCCTACAAGTTAGGTTTTATGTCAGCTTGGATAATAATCCATAAAGAAGTCAATTAAATGCTTTCTCCTGCTAGTGTCCACCAAGACTGCTAGAGAATCAAGAAGAAGCTCTTCCCTTCAACGCCCACCCACCACCCCACTCCTGAAAAAATACTCGTTCACTGTTCACCCTTAATCCTTCGTCCTTCAAAGCTGTGTGGCAGCAATGTTATGATGAAGTCATAAAAAGCTTACTTTGGAGCTGAAGGAGGAAAAAAACCATAGAGGCCTTTCAAGACTCATTACAAAGATTGAGAAACCTTAAAACATGGAGAAGGAATATACTTGCTGTATCCTGAGTTTGTCAGCCACCTTCTGCTCTTTCTTCACCAAAGACGCCAATTTTCTTAGGTTTATGCCTTTCATAACTATCGCCTCTTTTTATTTTTACCTTGACCCTTGGTCATAACCACGTGGCCTTGACCTAGAACGATGGTTGTGCCTCCTCCCTTTGCCTCTTCCTGGGTACGGTGGCGATCGCGAGTAGGAACGAGAACGGGAACGACGAAATGATCGAGAGTAGGAGCGAGTGCGGGAAGAACCCGATCTTGCCTCGGAGTAGCTATACAAACTTCTACTGTAAGATGAAGCACTGCAGGGAAACTTGGACCTTAAGGAAAACACAACACAGTAAAAATAAATGAAATTAACTCAAAAGAGTAACTCTCCCCAGATTTTTCCCTCCCAAATTTGGTTTGGCTTTTTTCCCTCTCCATATGCTCATGTCAAAGCTTCTTTCAGATGCTGACATAATGCTACTTCACACGGAAGAATTTGGCAACACGCAAAGGTTTCCACTTGCAAGACAGAACTGCTGCTTTGTTAGTGTGAAAATAAACAGGAAGGGTACATCTATTTCCACTTACTTCTATCACATGAACTACCAGAGCTATTGATTGATTTAAGGGGGTGTTACTGGCTTCTACTGCTACGTGTACATTTTCACTACTCCGCAACCACCTGCGGTGCAAATCATTTTTGTTAGAGTAAGATGCAGAAAGAGCAAGTTTTAATGGCTACAGCACAGTATCAAATATCAAGAAAACACAATTTCACCTGAAGACAGTAAAGCTCCATTTTACAGTGCCAGCTTAGTCTGTTTAACTTCCCTACTTATTTATTTGGCAACTTGTACAGGATGCAAAGTACTTGTGCTGCAATCTTACATACAGGACTTCTAGACAGATGCCCTAGCAAATTTTTGCACGTAGCTCTAGCTCTAACCAAGGATAGTGCCCGCATTTCAGGAAAAGGCATATCCAAAAGCTGTTAAACTCAGCGTCTAGTAATATGCCATTAGGCCATTATTCAAGGAAAGATACTGACAGCAGTACTAAGAGAGAGCTATTCAGACTCCTGCCTAAGTGAATTCTGGGGATAAAAAACATCAGCTACCCTGAGTTTCTTCTTCACAAGTTTTGTTATTTTTTAAAGAGCCATTTCACATTATTCCACATATGTTCATGAGCATCATGCCTCCTCTCAAAGTCCTCTACCAATTTAAGATTTCTCTACAAACCAGTCTGACCTTTCAGTTCCTAAGAAAAAAATTAAAGTGTCAACAAATTACTAGTGAAAGCCACCAGCTGGCAGTCCAGGTTAAAATCTCTCCATGTATCCACATGAGATAAACAAAAGTGGAAATGAAGACAATTTCTCTCCCATATCTCCTCCGAAGTGCTTTGTGGTAATGGTTACAATCAGAGCAGGGAGACACACAAAATCCAGCAGCTGCACCTATTCAGTTTCTGGCCTCCTCACGGCTGTCAGGAGGTGAAGGACGTCACTGCAGAGAAGCTTTACCGAAAGACACACCTGCTCTGGAAGAATTGCTGCCAAATTATCGCTGTCGGTCAACTGTAATCTCTACCATATTGGAGCTACTAACCTACGTATGGAACCCCTATCACTGCTAATCCCTTGAATCATCCAGTCCACCTAACGAGAGAGAGGTGGAGTGGAATCTCCTCCTGATTCTTCTAGCCAATCTGCTGCTCCATTGCAGACAGGGAAGGCAGTTACCTGGAAAATGAACGCCTATGCTCCTTCTGAATCTTTTTATATTCCATCAGTTCCTTGGCAGAATGATTTGTAAACTCATTGAGTTTGGACTTTTGCTTTTCCCTGTTAAAAGAAGTTTCACCTTTATTCCAATTCTAATTTGACCTTTTTTTACCAAAAGACACCAAGAAACAAAACATGGCCAATATGAGAAAATGCATACTGCATGCAAATGCAAAAGGTGGACATCCTATGTAAGCAAAAGCAGTTTAGAATTCCTACAAGGCTTAGGGAAAGTTTTAGAATTACATTTGTCTTGTTTTAGTTTTGTACATTTGCCATCTGCAACGAGAAAGTATATTGGAAGGAACACGATGCCATTTTTGCTCATGTCAGACGCAGTGTAACTGCAGTGCGATACGCTATCAAAATATAAACACGAAAACCAGCAGAACTTTATTGAGCCAAATGCCTACTCCACTTTAAGTCTCTGTTGTTCTCTGGAAAACTCCTCCCTAGGGAAGGGAGGCTGAGAGCAGCCTGACTGGTGTCAGAAATCCCAGCAGGACCAGGGCAGTGACCGTCCCCCTGCACTCGGCCCCGTTGAGGCTGCACCTCCAATACTGGGTTCAGCTTTGGGCCCCTCACTGCCAGAAAGACATCGAGGTGCTGGAGCGTGTCCAGAGAAGGGCAATGAAGATGTGAAGGCTCTAGAGAACAAGTCTTGTGAGGAGTGGCTGAGGGAACTGGGGGTTGTTTAGCCTGGAGGAAAGGAGGCCGAGGGGAGACCTCCTCACCCTCTACAACTACCTGAAAGGAGGTTGCAGCGAGATGAGTGTCAGTGTCTTTTCCCAGTTAACAAGGGATAGGACAAGAGGAAATGGCCTCAAGTTGCTCCAGGGGAGATTTGGATTGATATTAAGAAAAATTTCTTCAACGAAAGGGTTGTTGAGCATTAGGAGCAGGCTGCCCAGGGGAGTGGTGGAGTCACCATCCCTGGAGATATTTAAGAGACGTGTAGATGTGGTGCTTGGGGATGTGGTTTAGTGGTGGGCTTGGCAGTGTTGGGCTAACGGTTGGACTTGATGATCTTAAAGGCCTTTTCCAATCTCAGTGATTCTGTGATTCTGTAAAGGAGGTGCTCGTGTCGTTGGGGTGGGATTTGAACGAGCCGCTGGTGCTGCTGTTGGCACCCAAGCTGATGACATGTTTACAGGGGCTGGGGGATATCCTGGAGGGGGGACAGTGCACTCAGCAGGTGGGGGCTGACCAGGTGTGTAATGAGGAGGAAATGGTGGTGGTGGTGGTACCCGCGGTGGGAGAGGAGGTGCAGTGGGGTGGTGGAGGGTGCAAGGGAGGTGTAGGCACAGGCACAAAGACCGGTGTTGGTGCTGGTACTGTTGGGGTCTGAGTCCTTTGGCTATGTTCCCTGTGTGGCGTCCTCAGTCTGGACTTCTAAAGAAACCCCGAAACACGTATCACTGTTTGTTACACTCTGCTCTGATTTGAAAGAGTGAAGGAACGAAGCAGGAGCACGGTGGCAAGCACTTCTTGTTCTCACCTTGAGCACTTTCCCTCCCTGCTTTCCGTTCATTTGAGACTACACTCACTTCTCAATCCTCATACTTCCTTCCACGCCCTCAGCCCCAGCAGCTCCCTCAGTCTTCTCTCCGTATACTCAGCTTTGCAACTGTGGATGGAGTCTGCCTGTGCTTAAAAGAGACTCCCATCTCCCACGAGCCAAGTGCCCACTGCTCCTCTGCCACTCCTTGATACACTTAATACTTCACACTTCTGATCTTCACCGTACTGCACAGGGATTAACTCATCTGCTCTCAGACTTCTAACCTCTTCCACACGTTCCCTGTGTTGTTGACTCGTGATGATGTATTTGGCCTGTTCTTGTCCCTGACTTTTTATTTTCTTTCTTACTGAATTTGAGGTCTTAGACAATCTGTGGGATGGATCCTGGTTTTTGTTCTGACTGATCTTTACAATTTTATAAACACAGTGCACCCTTACAATCTCTCTACAACAAATACATACCAAAAGGAAGGAATAACTTGGCATTGCAATAATGGATAAACAGAATCCTCTCTCTCCAGGTGAAACAGTTTGGCTATTTGAGATGACTAAACTGAAGACAGTCAAAATTGTCATAAAATAACAGCACTTGCCTCCTCCAATAATTTGCTCTGTCAATATTAACTAGATTGCTAAAAAAATGTATTGGGGGCTGATTTCTATTGGGAAATCAATTTCTTCAGCCCTATTCAGCCAGCAATCAAAAGGCTGGCTTTCCATCCGATCTTTTAATTTTATTTAATTTTGATATGTAATTATGGTTTCCTCAAAAAGAGTTAATTTTTCAGAGTCTTCTCTGAGTCACGCACTGGAGTTTTGTTTTAAATAACCTTAATGCAAGCACAGAACCCCTTTGTTAGGCCAAATGAAGCCATTTAAAAATTAATTGCCATTTGTATTCTCCACAACTATCTGTGCATACTTATTTCATGATAATGCAGCTGTTTTATAACTTACGCGTTACCGCCTCGTTTAACAGGTTACAATATGTATAATATGTTTCATTTCTGTAGAATACTTACATTTCCCAGCTTGGACTGGCACCTGCTGAGCGAATTCCACCGGCTCTCATTGGATGAACTTTTGGCGTGGGGAGAGGAAAAAGAAAAAAATCCCATTCACTTTATCTGAAGACAATTTTTTAGAAGAAATTCTAAAGTTGCAGTTACTTACCAGCTGTGGGTATTGATTGTCCTTGGGGGCCCAGAAGACTTGGTAATGCTGGCTGCTTGAGAACAGGAACCTGATAGCCCTGGTGAATAAATGCAAACAGTTGGAAAATAAGCTCCACCAAAGAATGAGAATCAACGCATATGTTGAAAGAAAACTTATGTTCTCTTCCAACAAAGTGCTGATTGTCAGAGGAAGATTTAGCAAGTTCAGAGGCCGTCACCAGAGCAGCAGGAGGTGTTGGAGCCATGAGCGCGGTGGAGGTGGTGGCGGCTGCTGCTGCTGTTGCTGCTGAATCTGCTTACGGAGCCTTTTTGTGTAGCCAGTTCCATTTTTGAAGTTGTTCACAGCCTGAAGGCAGAAAAACATTTACAAGATGGTATTAGGAACCTCCAGGAGATATACAGACAAAAGCCTCCACAGAGTAAAATGACTCCTGTGTTCCCATAAATACTATCAATCCTAAAATAAGCCAACATACAGATATAGTCAGATTAGACATAAGGCAGAAACTCTTCCCTGTGCGGGGGGGAGGCGCTGGCCCAGGGTGCCCAGAGGAGCTGTGGCTGCCCCCTCCCTGGAAGGGTTCAAGGCCAGGTTGGACAGGGCTGGTGGAAGGGGTTGGGACTGGATGATCTTTAAAGGTCTCTTCCAGCCCAAAGCGTTCTGTGCTGTATGAACACATCACATTAAACACTGATACTAATGACTGGTAACTCAGAGTATCTGTATTTAAAGTACTTCAGTGTTAACACCAAACTGAGGCAATCATGTTAAACAAAAATGTGACCTGAATTTGCCAGATTGTCTCTAAAGAGTTGTATGCTTCTGTAACAACAGATAATGTACTTGAGAAATAAATCTAGTTTTATTAAGTCAACCTTGCTTAAGGAGATGTAAATTAGTATCTTCTTCCCTTTCAGATTTTTACAAACAGACTTTTCTTACAAACAATTGATGTAAAAATCTTCCTGTTACCTGGCGTAGGCACTTGTTGGCAATTAAAGAATCAGGAGAAACATCTGTCTGGTGACATGTTGGGCATGTATGTTCCTCAGATTCCAGTAATGCTGTTCTAATACCTGTGAATAATTAGAATCATCAGAATAGTTCATGGGCAAACTAAGGAAATTTTGTTGGTTCTAATCGATTATAAAACACAGAAATGATTGATGGTGAATATGGTCTTGAATTGAGAGCCTGAATCTATAAATGTTCAGTAGTGTAAAAAATTGATAGTGCGCAGCAAAACACTATGCAGTTTTGACAGCTCACTCTTGTAATATTTGAAGATATAGAGTAGGCTGTGTCTTGATGTTCTGACTAGTCTTTTTTCCACTATCTAGTACAGTGCGAAGTCACCAACCTCAGGGTTAATGAGTAAAGTGCATCTCAGTCATTAGTATGTTCAAGTCCTGAAGGCTTTAACCAGCTCTCCCATGGAGGAGAATGTGGATCACATGCTTAACTAGCCATTTGTTGCAGATCACAGGAAGTCACCCGAGGTGGCCATAGAGTTTTGCATGAGAGAAAAGGCTGTGGACAAGCTAAATGCATTTGATATCCAATACTGTAATCACCTGCACAAAGCACTCCTCTCATACTTGTCCTCTGCAAGTAAAGAGGGTTGAACTAGATGCATAAAAAAGAAAGCTTTCTGCTTCTTTTTTGTCTTCATTTCTATGAGCAGGGTCCTTCCCCAATTCAGGGTATAGTTACGTATTAAATAGAGCTGTTAGCAAAGTTAATTTTGTTATCTCCTTTTTCTGCTTTCAGAAGATCAGATGTGGTGCTTTGAGCTAACAAACATGGGAGGAACACTTACATTCATCACAATAACTGTTTCCACAGCAGGGAATAACAGCGGCGTCAGTCAAGATATCTCTACAAATGAGACATATCAACTCCTCTGGAAGAGGATCACCGTCTGAGGAGGAAGAGGATGGCTCCTCTGGTAAGAAGGGAGGCTTCTCCTTCTTTCCTCTAGCATAAGCTTCCCTGGAGGGTGGGTGGGGAAGGAAAAAGAAAAAAGTTAAAGATGGATAAAGGAAAACTTCTCCAAGCTTTGGCTTTTATGAAAGGAGGATGATCGATGGAATTCTCACTCCACATTAGCCTTCACAACCACAGGCATTTAGTTTAAACTACTCTTCTAGAGTCACAACACTGGAAGAGGGAGGGGGGGAACAACCTTCCTTCTGCAGAACTTTCCCATTTGTTGGATCATCTAAGAAATTAGCTCAGACTGGAAAAATCATTTTTGACAGCTAGAAATCAGGTGACATGAATCCCACCTCTCCTTTGCCAGAGGGTGAATGTAAATTGCAGGCTCGGGGTAAAGTTAGTCTCTGAGTAATTATGTTTTATAAATGGAAGTCATGTGTCACAGCTTCTATGAAAGGAGATCCATGACAGAAAATCAGAAGTGCTTCCAAGTGCATTTTAAAACAGCCACTCTTGTCAGCACACAGGAGTATTCTCTTCATTTATAGCAACAGGAAATTGTCAGTCTGTTTCACACGTGGGCTTTGGTAAAAGCCAGAGGGGAAGGACATCTCAGTCCAACAGCTCTATGGTAAATTTTTCAAAAAGCTTTTGAAACGTAAACCAGAAGCAAAAGGAGCTTTCAAAGGGAACGACTCCACTGTAAACACTACTGAAATGCTTTGTAGAAGTACAGGTTCTGAGCATACCAGCAGCTTAACCAATTTCCAGGGACACAAACAGCAGGAGCGCCCTGTTTTAATATTAGAAAGTGTCACAGATTCAAGGTTAAGATCCGATGACAGTGCTTCCTCCCCCGTAATTACAGACGATGGCCAACTTGGTTGCACTGTCACTCAGGCATTTACACACGGCTTCTCTCGTTCACTTTTTGGTCAGTCCCAGTAATTCCATACTTACGCATTAATAGTTGGTATCACATATTTTCCTGTCTTGGTCAGCATAGCACCCTTCGTATTGGGATCTTTCACCTCCACCATGAAACTCCTTGGAATTCCTGTGCTCTTTTTAATTCTGGGAACAGACTCAAATTTTTTGTCCTGATAAGAAAAGAGATACTGGACATATCTCATCTTAAGACCCACACTTACAATGACATTTCATTGATTATTTTGAGCAGCAAAAGCCTCTAATCCTCCCCTTTAACTTAGCCTAAGGGTTGCTTGATGAATATAGCCAGGATGCTCCAAAGGCTTGAGCAGTGTTTTGAACTTTCTAACAGAAAAATTCCAGCAATATTGAAATATATAAAGATATGCATTCAAGTTCACAGCGGAAGATCTGTGGGCACATGTAATGTCTATGACGTAGAAAAAAAGAAAATTTCATGTTGAGAATTCCATCTTTCCCTTGGATTTTGAAGGGCTTTGCACCATTGCCTATATAACCTCTGTATTTCACCCCAAGAGGAACAATTCTCAAGATGAATATTCATGTATTTGTCACATAACTGCCAAGGCACAACAATTAAAAACAAAGTAACACCAGAAGTCCCCCACAATCTTACCCCATTTGTTGGGCAGTTCTTTATATAGTGGCCAGGATTTCCGCAACGAAAACAAGTATATGATGGTGAGGTAGACCCAAGGATTTCTTCATGTAACTAAAATTTTTTGGGGAAAAAAAAGAAAAAGGTATGCATGTGTCACTCTTGTTCAAACAAACATCTCTACAATTTTTCCATAGCCTTTAGAGAACAGATTTTACATTGTCAACACTTACTTGATTGGATCATACTGTCGGCAAGACTGTATCATCACAGCTTTTATCTTGTCTTCTTCGGAAGCGTTGGCTTCAGCCAGATTGGCATGTCTGTTTAACAGGCAGTTATTTGACACACACATTAGGAACACATCTAAGCCCGCACAGCTGAAGACAACACCACTCAGCTAATCCTGTAAGAGCAGCACCAGCCCTAGCTGAGGTTGCATGAAAACAGCTGCTTATATAAAATATAGTTCTCCTGAAGGTGTTCTGGGGAGTCCTTACTGCCATGACGGGGTGTTTATGTGCCTCTTAACCTACTTGAAAAGAGCATTCTTGGGCACTCAAAACCTTAGGCTCTGTTTGTACCTTACATAAAGTCTTGCGTAAGCAGTCCAATTTTCTTCCAAGTGGATTGAAGTTATGTGTAGAAAAAAAATTATTATCCAGTAGTTTTAAACTGATTCTCAAGCTCCAGACTATTTGAAGGGGAAGGTCTTCACTGTACATTTAGTTGAGAGAGTTCTATGCAAGTATCATTATTTACATTTTCCAGCATTAAAGGGACACACAACTTAAGAGTTGGGGAAGATGTTGCTTGCTGAAATTTGGCTTCAGACACAGAAGCTTTAAAAGGAATCAAGCTTCTTATAATGCCTCAGGAAAAATTCTTTTTGGTAGAAATTTGACCGTCACGTGCTGTCGGCAGCCAAACGGCACGTCCCCTGCCTACTAACTTCTTCATATGAAGGGATTTAACTACAGTCAGCACAACCTGCAGTTCTTCTCCAGTTGACTGTGTCTTTTTAACATGCAAATTGTAACAGAAACCTTACACAGAACGAGATCGTCACATTGTTGAAGCCAGCTGATTATTTTTTCAGTAGTGTTTGTTCAAATGTTTTTATTACACACTAGTGCAGACACAAGCAGGGCCTAAGGGAGCGACTGTAAATGATTTGGACCTTCAGGAACCTGTCACTCAGATCAACCACTGGTGTGTCTGTTTTTATATGCATTCATCCACAAAAGTAACCAGCTAGTTTCAACGGTTCATTAAATGGCCGTTTCATAGACACAGTTTTTTCTCATCTGTAACATAATCCAGGTTGACATCCATGAAATAACTTTCATTAACATTTACAGAAAACTTTACAGATACTCGACTGATTTGTTTGAACCCAAACCATTTACAAAACACGTCCCAAAATGACTAAGCATTACTAGGAATAGACCAAAATTCAAATAAAGCATTTCATACATAGTAATAATAATGCAGAAAACTTTTTTGCAACACGTTGCCTCCACTGCTAAACCAGTCCTGCACTGAAGAGGTTAGAATAAGTAACAGTTTTGAGCTGCTTTATGCCATGTTCCTGCATTTTTCTGAAACACTTAAATTTTCTCGAAAGCTTCAATGCGTACACCACTTTGACAGCATTTCACATTTTAGAGTAAAACTTCACATGAGTTTACAGAACCAAGGGTACGTTTAGGGACAGCACTAATGGAGACCAATTTCTTTTGGTGGCTACCTTCCAA